CACCCATTTGCATTGGTGTCTGGTCCCCCTGAAAAAGCACAAACTTTCAAAGATAACATACATATTTGCATTAACACATATATGGACTGTTCATTTTACACAAGCCAGCCAAAGATGATTTTTTTGTTTTATGTTTAAGTAGGTAAAATATGTCACCTCTCTTGTAGCTTTTCTAGGTTTATTTCTTTTTATCTGTAGCTGGGATATTCAGGGAATCTCCCCTGATCAAACCTGATCTCTACTAACTTGAAAGGAATCCATAGCCTTTCATTTGCTGTGGAAACAAAACCATAGCCTCTTCCTGAAAGCAATACATTTTTGACTTCCATTTTAAAGTTAAGGCATCCCTAAAATATCCAGACAGGTTTAAACTAACAGACTGTTACAATCCCAGGTCTCCCAGCCACTGCACTCTGCTCGTCAGCATTCAAAAATGCAAAGACAACACAGTTCCATACAGGATCCAGACTCCCTGTTTATTTTTCAGCTTTATGTGGTTTATTCTTTTTTATATTACTTTAACCTTTCTTAAAATTCTTTAGTATTTTTAAACTATGACTGTCTATATCGTATGTAAATGGAGTCCTTATTTGGTCTAGATAATAAAAGGCCAGAGTCAAATATAGAGGAAAATGCTGAGAGATCAGATAGAAGGAGCAAGCCTTAGCTTCTAAGTGTCTCCACAGAGAAGAGAGCGATTTCCTGTTTGTCCTTGCTTATATCCTGTTACCGACCAGCTACATCACTTACTGCCTGTCTGCACAGACCTCCATGGTCAGCTAGTGGCAAGCTCCATTCTCTGTCCCCCAGACAGGCTTTATTTGTGCAAGATATCACTACATATCCCCCATTTTTGTCTAAAAAAGTTATAACCAATATGAGAAAAACTATGTACAATATGGAAAATAACTATATATCCATGGCAATAAGAACAATGCCTAGTCCATAAGCATATGACAAATTCTGAGAAAATACTCCATCATCTATTCTTTCTTGACGAGTCCAAAGTCTTGTACCTAATTTACTTTCTATTGTAATATGCATATCAAATTATCTTTTAATGTCTTTAAACATATTACACTTAATACATCTATAGTGAGTTTCTTTACTGATTCTGGTAAACAGGGAAAACTATAACCATACTATTTAGCCTTCAATTCCCTCAGAGACCCAAGAAGGAAATAATATTAACTGAATAAACAGGAAGAGTGAGAAAACAACTTTTAAAGAATGTCAGAAATGACAGAAATAGCTGGCTGCCTGGACTATCACCCAACATCCATCTTCATCTAATAGGCCTAGCACATCTGACAGATATTCTGTGAAACAGGATAACTTGAAGGACTGGACCACTTTGTCTTGGCAAAGTTTGCAGTCACTTTTTGGTGACTGTCAGCAGTTGAGGCAAGGGCAGTTTCTTGCCTAGTGGCTTACCTTTGACACAAAAAACTCAAACTCCATGTGGAGTTTCTTCGATGCCCATTAACTTCTCTGACGTAGATTGGTGCTGCCAGGAGCAGACATGTCTCATTGTCATAACAAAAGAACCTATGTTATTAAAACATGTTAGATGTCATTGTATTCTGTGAATCTCTAGAAGCTGTATGGGACCATCCATCCCATCCTCCCCCTATGTGGTACCATCCATACCATCTCTCCCCTATGTGGTATCATCCATACCATCTTTCTCCCCATGTGGGACCATCCATCCCATCCTCCCCCATGTGGGACCATCCATCCCATCCTCCTCCTGTGTGAAACCATCTGTCCCATCCTCCTCCATTCTCCATCTTGCTACTAGTGGTCTTTTCAAAGGCCTCTTCTCTCCTGATTGGTTTGCTAATGTTGATATGAGGGATTTTAGGACACAAGCCTGGACTCCAGCAGTCCTAACAAGCCTGGCTCAGCTCCCTGCCCCCACATGCAGTCAGTGTGGCCAGGCTGGGAAGAACAGACACAGGGTCCAGTGGCCCCGAGGGCCCTGATGGTGGGCCATGAGCTGGACTAATCAGCCATCCTCAGGGATCAGTGTGCTTGCTACAAGGTGAGTCCTGTGCTCAGGAAGCAGCCCCACCCTGTGGGTAACTGCCCTTGTGGTGGGAGAGGTGAGTCTGTCCTGTGGAGGTTTGTTTTTTCTGGAATCCAAGTTAACTACAGGTTGAGGACAATGATATCTCTGCACCATTAGCCTTGTGGCCCAAGTGAGGAGTCAGGTTTTTTAGGAAAAACAACTTCTAAATGCCTATGTGTTTCAATGCTACTTCCTTGAAGTCATGAAACAATATCATTATTAACCTATTTCTTTTATGTATATATATATACTATATATTTTTATTTTATGTGCATTGGTGTTTTGCCTGCATGTGTATCTGTGTGATGTTGCCATATTCCCTAGAACTGGAGTTACATATGGGTGTGAGCTGTCATGTGTGTGCTGAGAATTAAACCTGGGTTGTCTGGAAGATCAGCCAGAGCTCTCTTAACTGCTGAGTGATTTCTTAATGCTGAATGTAGTGTCCTTCATTCTTCAAATGGGACATGGATCTTGTTCTGCATAGCTTTCCAGATTCCTGCCCCTTGAGCTATTGCTCCCTTGTAAACCACGGTGCCCACCCGACATTGTAAGAGCCCTGGTTTGCTTATTAGTCCTTCCAGGCCGATGTAAGCTTCTGTTCTATGGGCTAGTGGAGCGTGCAGTGCCTAATGTCACTATTAACCCCTCCCTGCTATGTGGATCAGAGTGAATGCTATGAGGGTGCTAAATGCTTGGACTAGAGTGGGGATGGCACTGCATGTCAAGGACTCATCTGTGAGGTACTCGAAGGTTCCATGCAGCCTCCTGGTAAAGTTACACCCCCAACTTTGTCTGTGGGCTGCTGTACAAATGTTTAACCTCCCAGGTCACACCTCTGAGGAATGAGAACCCATCTTGTCCATAAACTCTTGTTTTGGACGAAGTGTGTCAGACAAATCAGGAATGGCAAGTTCAGGCATTTTTTTAAAGTAAGCAATGGAAGAATTAATAAGGAAAATCAAGGATATTCTATGAGCATGAATTGAAGTAACAGAAAACTACAGACCAGCAGTTGTACACCTTTAAACCCAGATTTTAGGAAGCAGATCTCTATGAGGCCAGCCTGGCCTAGAGAGTTCCAGCCAAGACTACAAAATAATTTTTTAAAAAAGACCAGTTATTAATGCAGTGTGTACAACCGTTCCCTCAGTAAAATATATTACTTTTTTTTTTTTTTTGGTTTTTGGAGACAGGATTTCTCTGTATTGTTTTGGAGGCTGTCCTGGAACTCGCTCTGTAGACCAGGCTGGCCTCAAACTCACAGAGATCTGCCTGCCTCTGCCTCCTGAGGGCTGGGACTAAAGGTGTACGCCATCACCACCTGGCTAAAATACATTACTTATGAAGATGCATTTCTTTATAGGAAAGAAGAAAGCCTGAGGAAAAAACGCTGTCCTTTAAGATAGTCCAAGTAAACACTTAAAAATAATGTGTGGATATAACCAGGAAACTGCTTTCAGCCAAGTTTACTTAAGTAGGGCCCTGTTATTCCCAAGGAAATGTGCTCAGGCAGTATCATGAGTGCAGTCCATTCAGCTGTCCTAACTCTTAATCTTAGCTCTCACTGGGTAAAAACCAGGAACCACTGTTTCAAACCGGGCTTCAGATGATTCTAATAGCAGCGTGGCAGTTCTTTACAGAATGAGAGTGACAAAAAACATGAATGACCACAAAGTCAGTGTGCCACCATTGCATGCTGCATAGTGGCTCGCCCATATTACAACTCCAATTAAAAGAAACTCATGGGCTCAATTAAGAACACTCCTAACGGACAGAATTAGAAAAAACATCCTGAGTGAGGTAACCCAAAACCAGAAAGACAAATACAGTATGTACTCATTCATAAGTGGATACCAGACATGAAGCAAAGGATACCCAGCCTACAATCCACAACCCCAGAGAAGCTAGAACCCTCTTCCAGAAACAGATGGAAGCAGATGCAGAAATTGACAACCAACCAATGGGTGGAGCTCCTGGAGTACAATTGAAGTGAGGGAGGAGTGATAATATGAACAAAGGAGTCAAGACCATGATGGGGAAACCCACAGAATCAGCTGACCCGAGCTAGTGAGAGATCATTGACTCAGGTCTGACAAATGGGGAACCTGCATAAGACCAAACTAGACTCCCTTAATATAGGTGACAATGGTGTAACTGGGGCAATGTATGAGGCCACTGGCAGTGGATCAAGATCTAACACTAATGCACAGACTGACTTAGTGGAGCCCATTCTGTATGGAGAGATACCTTGCTCAGCCTAGACACAGGAATGTGGGTGGTGGAGAGATGCCTTGGTCCTGTCTAATGAGATGATGGGACAGACAGAAGACTCCCTAGGGGAGACCTCACCCTCTCTGTGGAGCAGATGGGAGGTGGGATGGGAGGAGTGGGGAGAGGGGGGAGGGGGATCTTGGATTGGAATGTAAAAAATAAATTAATAAAAAAGAAAATTTTAAAAAAGAAATTATTTGAATGTTTAAAAAATTTTTAAAAAGAACACTGCCTAGTTTTTTAGAGAACTCAACTTAGATTCATAGCACTCACATGGTAGCTCACAACCTTTTATAACTCTAGTTCTGGGGATCTGACACCCTCTTCTGGCCTCAATGGGCGCCAGGCATGCACATGGTACACATACATGCATACATGCATACATGCAGGCAAAACACACCCATACACATCACACACACACAAGCCAGGTTGTGGTGGTGCAAACCTTTGATCCTAGTACCTGGGAGGCAGAAGTAAGTAGATTTCTGAGTTTGAATCTAGCCTGGTTTACAGGTCAAGTTCTAGGATAGCCAGGGCTACACAGAGAAACCCTGTCTTGAAAAAAACAACAACAACAAATAAAGAAAGAAAAGAAAGAGAAAAAACAGACAGTTAAGAAAACCTCATAGTTGAAAAGACCTGCACAAGACAAGTGTGCACTACTGATACTTTAATGTAAATAGCTTACCATTTAGTAAAAACAGATGTCTCCGTCACACATACTGAAGCCGGTTTTGTGCCAAAATATTTCTTTCTTTCTTTTTTTTTTTTGGTTTTTAGAGACAGGGTTTCTTTGTATTGCTTTGGACAAAATATTTCTTAAATACCACAATATGCCTGCCTCCTTCACCTCGGGATAAACTCTGTAAATACCACATCACACCCACCTCCCTCCCCTCAAAACCGCATCTGAGAAGAGATTTGGAATTGAGCACTGGCACACCCAAAATTTGTCTTGGTTAAAATTACCATCTATTGCATGAGCATGCCGATGAGCAAGCATCTCCAAACGTTCCAAGAAACCCAGAGTGGCCAATTAGATAACCGAAAAGTTTAAAGGAGATGTTACACATTTCTTTTTTTATTTAATTTTTTCTTCATACCACATATTCTGCATGTTTCTTTTCCTTTTTCCCAATTCGTCTCTAACTTCCTACCCACTAACAATAAGACAAAAAAAAAAAGCCAAAACAAAATCAGAATGAAACAAAAAGTCCGCAAAAATACCACTGAGTTTGTTTTGTGTTTCCCAACTTCTGGGTGTGGGGCATGTCCTGGAGTGTGTTGAGATACTCAGTGAGATTCCATTGACGAAAACTGATTTTTCCCTAAAGTCTATGTTTCTAGTTACAGTGTACAGCTAGAAACATTACGGAAAGGTGATAGATTACAACTACCAATGGACTTATAAGTAAACACCTGAAAAGTCAACGTCAGAAACAAGAAATTTAGTGTCTGCTGCACACGCCCTGAGCTTCAGGGCCAATAGATTGCTTTCATGGCCCACAAAGGATTTCAGAGGGCAGCAGGATGCAACCCCAGAACTCGCGTGCCCTTTCTCAGGCCTGATCTCAGATGCTCTGTCATTGTCTCAGTCCTTTCGGACGCACGGACTCTTCAGCGGGATCAGAGCTCTTCGGTAAACGGCCTCCTCCTCCTCAGAGCTGCACTGTTTGCCGACAGCCGGTCAAAGTCCTGGAGGTGGAAACGGGCTGCCAGCTGGTTGACCATTTTCTTCAGGGTCAGGAACGCCGAGATGACTTGGAAAGCCAGGAAGACGGTGAAGACGATGTGGATTGCTTTCTCCAGGGGCAGATTCCTTAGGCCTTCGTTCAGGAGCAAGAAGAGGATTAGAGGCAACTGCAGCAGAAAGCTCAAAAGCCAAAAGCCCGCCAGCTCGGGGACCTGCAGTGACACAAGGGTTGTAGGGTCAGCAAGACAGCGTCGTTTCGGTCATGCGCACAACAGGCTCTCAGCACTAGAAAGGGCCTACTGTGCAGGCCCCACGAGTAATTCAGGGGTACGCCAGTCTTGTCCTAGGGAACTGTCTAGATGAGAAAGCCAGTGTAATGTCCAACGACTCACGCTTGGGCAGTAATGAGCGCAACATTAAAGGTACAGAGAGACTGCTGCAGAGGTCACGTGTTGGAGAGAGACCTCAGGGGGGCACAGGGGGAGCACCCCGCCCCTGAAGCTCTAGCATGACCAGGAAGCAACACATCGGCCTGGTCTGCATGGTTGGCTTAAAAATGGCAAGAAAAACCAAGGAGAATTTCTGGGTGGAGCCTATTATGAAGGGCTTAGCAAACCACAGAGTGATTTAAAGACTTTAGAAACTAAATACTTAGGCAGGGTGATGATTCAGAAAACACGGGCCTGGCACTGAGCATGGATTTATAATGTTTCTTAAAGTTCCAAACAGATTGGCCGGGCAGTGGTGGCGCATGCCTTTAATCCCAGCACTCGGGAGGCAGAGGCAGGCGGATCTCTGTGAGTTCGAGGCCAGCCCGGTCTACAGAGCGAGTTCCAGGACAGCCTCCAAAGCCATAGAGAAACCCTGTCTCGAAAAACCAAAACCAAACCAAAACAAAAAGTTCCAAACAGACATTTAGTTGGCCGCTGTTTAAAACTACACACATGCACACTGCCATCAGCCCGTCTGTCTCCCACTCTTGCTGCCTGTCCTTCTTTAGAACTGACCACATATTTCCAAGGCTAAGAAGTGAGAAATGTTACGGGTTGTTAAGAGTTTATTGTGTTTCGATCCTTCACAGGAGTCAGTAAGCTTGTCAAATGTTACTCTCCTTGTCTAGCAGGAGACACCAGAGTTGGAAAGGTCAAGCCGTGACGCAAGTCTTCGAGGCTGGTGCCACCGCCACCCGGCCATCGCTTTAGTCACGTGAAACCCTCTGTCTTTAGTACGTCCTGAAGGACGGGAGAACCCACCTTCTCCTGCAGGTTCCCCATGCAGCCCAGGTACAGCCGGATAGCCTCGATCAACGTTATGAGGACGATGACGGTGATCACAATGAATTTGTAGTAATCGGGCAAGACGGAATACTGAAAAGAAAAGGGAGACTATGCTTGCAAAGCCCTCGGTCAAGCAACGGGTGCGGGGGTGGGGGTGGGGCAGAGAGGGCTTCAGCCTCCGCAGGGGCGTGAGGAGCGGAGCAGAGAGGGAGGCCGACCCACCTTCATGTGGAGCATCGCGATGCAGCTCACCCACCACAGCGGGAAAAAGTAAGAGTTGAAATACAGTGACATCTGCAGCGGCAAGCTGGAGACCATCTCATTATCTGCGAAAGAGGTAGGAAAGGAACACATCCTTAACCCTGGCCAACGCCCCGGAAGCCCTCCTACTCCCGAGCACTGACACCGCTTCAACAAAACTCCACACTCTAGGCCGACTTATAACCACTAGCAGCATAGTCATCTGCGAACCGTTGATGAATTAGTTGCTTGGAGTTGTCTCCCGTCCTTCAAGGATCTGCCTCCACAGTCTGCTGGCAGTTTGCAGAGCAGGGGTTTGGATTGAATATGGACTATCAGGCTAGACACGGTGAGACAGGGGATCACTGTGAGTCTGAGGCTAGCCTGGGCTCATAGTACGAAAAGGAAGAGAGCAAAGCACTATGAGCTGGAATGGTGGCACATTCTTGTCACCCTAGCACTCAGAGACAGGGAAAGCAAGTTTGAGGCCAGTCAGGGCTACATATCTGACCTTGTCTCAGAAAAAAAAAAAGATCCCAAAGAGCAACATAAATATGAAATTCTAACGCCTCCTTTGTTCCTTTGTAGGGCCTCTATAAAGACCTTTAAAGTGAACGGATAAAGTGAATCTCTTATAGGTTAGCTCTTATATAATAATTAACCTCAAATTATAAAGACATCCCCCTTCCAGCAAATCCTAACCCTGTACATTCCTTACTGCTACTCCAGTGCCATCTCTCCTCCAAACCCCCCTTGATTACGTTCCTGCAGCCCCGCAGCAATCTTTCCCCTCCAGGTATTTACCATGCTAAACTGGGGAGAAGAAGTGCTGCCTGGGGCTGGAGACATGGCTCAGGGGTCAAGAGCACTTGCAGCCCCTGTTCCCAGCACCTACAAAGTGGCTCACAACCGTCTCTAACTCCATGTCCCAGGAGCTCTGCTGCCCTCTTCTGGCCTCTTTGGGCACCAGGCATGCATGCAGTACACAAACATCCAGGCAGGGACACAGTCATGTACACCAAACAAGAAAATAAAGAGACGTGCCGGCAAAGAATCATATTCCTCATCCAAGACGCGGTGTGATGTCCTGAAGAGACCATGGGCCTTACAAGCTGCGGTGACCAGAATGAAATCTGTTAATTCTGAAGGTTGTGGATGTGAGGTGAGGTGAGGGGATAAAAGCTTTTTACAGCCTAATATCAAACTCATGAAGAAGACAAGAAAATAATTATATATTGGTTAAGCTGACACTTTCAGAACCTTTAGAGCAGAAAACTAGTCAAAGGTTTGCAAAGAGACTGAGGCAGGAGTATTTCACATTCAAAGCTAGCCTGGGCTACACAGCAAGTTAGTTTCAGGACAGCCCAGGCACTTCTTGATTGTACTGTTGTTGTTGTTTGTTTTAAAAACTTTGGGGACATAGTTTGGTAGAGTGACGGCTTACCATGCCAGGGTTTTTATTTTATTTTATGTAGTGTCATATCCATACTTCAACACATCAAACTTATGCAATTTCAAAATCAGGCCAAAATATAAATGAGGCACCAGATGTAAATTCATTAAATTTTATAAAAGTTGAGTTCTGTAATGAGATAAAATTAAATCATTAGATAATTGGACAGACAAATTTTACTGACCAATTAATTATCTGCCTAGGCAGAGGCAGTGAATTTAAACAGTTTTTCTCGAATTTGAATGTGTAGGGAAAAAGAGCCAGCCAAAGAAACACACCCTGAACAGAGCCAAAGAATCACACTTTGGCCCTGCAACCAGAACTAAAGAAATGCACCCTGGCCCTACAATTGGAGCCAAAAGGCTAAAAAGGACCAGAGAAAGAAACACACTTTGGCCCTGAAACCAAAGCCAAATCAGATCCTAATCTGTGCAGAAAACTAACCAATCCTCGAGCAGAGCTCTAGCCAATCTGAGCTCAGCACTAAAATCTGACCAATCCCCACCCTGGAAGCCCTATATAAACCCTGTGTCTGTTCAGCTTCTGTCCCTGATACCCGGCTGTCCTCTGCTACTCTCCTGGATTCTTCCCGTTCAATAACCCCCTTGGATGACCTTTGGGGAAAGACTTTTTGCGGAGCAGAGACGACCCTGGGCAGAGCCAGGCGAGCAGGCAGAGTGGAGTTGTTACTCCTGCCAGGAGACCCTTTCCAGCCGGGGCACAGCCGATGCACTGGGGAAGCCTCTCCCTGAGGCAGGGCTGTAAGCTGCTACCTTCACTGTGGCCTGTGGCAGTCTGTGACTCCCGGGTGCCAGAATCCCCCCCCCCCCATCCATGCATCCGACTGGTGGACATGCTCACGGAATGTCTGGGGGAGCGATCACACGGCGCGGGAAAACCACAGGAGGTTGCAGTCTCCGCAGCTACACAACCGCAGGGCAAACGTTTCCCCCCTGGCCCCGGGACCTCGAATTGCCCGCCTTTAGGGCAAGGGGAGGCTCGCTTTCGGAAACATGGAACCCCGAGGTTCCAGGTCCACGGCTCTGCTTCTTAGTTCTCCCTTTCAAACAGTAGCCAAGCTGGGGGAGGGGTCTCCCCCGGAGCTCATCGGTGCCGCTGTGGGATGGAGCCGGGAGAAAGAGCAGCAGCCGAGGCCGGCAGTGCCAGTGTGGCCGGGGGTTCGCAGGGAACCGCAGCCTCGTCCTGCCCGGGGCCTGGCCGGAGGACGCGCCTGGCGGACGCCGAAGCCGCCATTTTTCACCCGGGCACGGCTCGCGCGCCCCATCCCCGCGCCCTCGCCACTCACCCGCCGCTTCGCTGGGCTCCGGCCCCGGCCCGGGCCCCGTGCGGCTGGAGTCGCGGAACACCGTGAGGCTGAGGTTGCCCAGGCGCTGACGGACAGGGTCCGGCAGCTCCATGCCTGGCCTGCCGGGCCTCGTCCCTCGCTCGCCCGCTACCCGGCCGGCGCTGCGGTTCCCCGGGCAACGGGGCTGCGCCCGCCGCTGGGGCCTCGGGGCCGGGGTTGCCCTGCACCGCCCGGGCTCTCCCAGAGCTTCCCTTGGGAGGGGCGAGCAGAGGCGACCGCGCCCGCAGCGGGACGCAGCCCGGGCTGCTGCAAACGCGGGTTCCTTAGCCCCGACCTCTAAGCCACTCGGGCCCGCGCTGAGCCGCTTTGTCTGCAGAAAGGTGCGCCTTTCCTAGAGGGAAAAGGAGAACAAACGCAGATCTTAAAAAATGCCCCTGACCCAGGGATTCTTTTCCAAGGGCGGGATACAACCTGGGATAAAGGCCAGAGTAGACCAAGCGCACCTGCTTCAGGAGGGAAGGAAACAGCAATCGTTTCTGGGTCGTGGGTGGCTTTAAAACTTAAAAAAACCCAGCCTTTTCCTGCTTTCTCTTACATTCTTAGCCACTAAGGGGGATCTCCAGCTTGAGGTCGGCCTGGGCTATGTTATAAAAACCTCAAAAACCAAACCAAAGCAAACCATTACGTGTAGTAGACATGCACAGAAAGGCACAACCCGGATGCCTCAGGGCCCGAGTCAGTCAGTGGCTAATGGAACAGCTGGCCTACTTAATGCTTTAAAGTCTAAGAAAAAACCCGATTCTGCCGTCAACACTTCCATTAATTGCCTTCCCAGTTACAGTCGCACCAACAAGCTGTCGATGCGCACCTGTGCATTTTGTACTTAGGAGCAGGTATGGCTGGCACCGCTCTTGTTGAAAAATGCCTGTTGGTAAACATTCCCGCACGTTTATGTTGAGCGCGCACCCGGGATTGGAAAGGCTGAGTCAAACAGTGTAAGACCAGCTTTACTAGGCTCTGCCAACAGCTTTCCTAACTGTCCAACCTCCAGCTCCATACGAGCACCCCTGTCCCTCCAGGTGCTTTCCCGATGCTTGTATTCCGCCCTTCCCTTTCAATGTTTCTGGTAAAGTGCCAAGGGACTGGAGATGCTGCAGCCGTTACCAGCACGAGTAGCTCTTGCAGAGGGCCCAAGTTAGATTCCCATTGCGGGCATGGTGGTTCACAGCCACCTATCACTCCAGATACCATGGAAGCCAAAGTTACATTTTAAGTTTTAATTATTGTGCCTTAGATATGCATGAAACAGAATGCCTTTGATCTGCAATTCCCTAGCCCAAGGACAGATAGTTCCTGAAATGCTGGAGGCCACTATTTAGGGGGCCACAACAAGCCACACGTTTTTCACTCCCCAGACGAATTTGTTTGACCCATCTGCTCCAGATGTGCTTGATCCCGGATGGGTGGGAGGTTCATGGGCAGGAAATACATCCGTATGTATGCTTGCCCCTGATTGGACCTGATTGGAAATACTTAAGCCGCTGCAAACTGTGACTCGGCCATTTTCTGGAAACCTAGAGATAGACCTGCTCAGAGTCCATCCACCTGGCCAGCATGTAATTAAAGCTTGCTTCAAATCTGGCTTTAAACTGTGGTAGTGGTCTTCTTCTCAATCAGTGGGGTTAACAGTAGCTCTTTCTGACCTCCATGGGCACCAAGCACACATGTAGTGTACGAACAAAAATGTAGGCTAAATAGACAGAAAATGAATAAATCTAATTCTAAAAATTAAAAGGCATGGCAAGCACAGTTCTTGTTCCAAAGGGAGTGAAGAAAAATTTACTCTGAAGTAGATACGACTGCCCATAGCCTGGGCACATTAGATTCAGGTTGTCCATCATCCAAATCACAATATGAATTTATATTGCCAGAATTATATTTATGTGGACCTCAGGTAGGCAGGTCACAGCAAAGCAGGGGCTTCTCTGCTCCAGGCCTCAGGTTGTATGAGGACATTCCTAGCTTTCTGGTTGGTGAAAGCCCACAATCAGCTAAACTAACAGATTCCAAAGGTTTTATAAGATACAGAGGTGAGTGGTAAAGGACATCAAGGGAACTAAGGACAGCCCAAGATAATTTTGGCTTTTGTTTTGCAGCTAACGAAGGGGTTGCTTTTCCAGGAGCTTCAGGCCACAAAATCAAAAGGGAAATTTGCTTAAAGACTATGAAGGGGAAGAGGTAGAAGAAAGCTGCTTTTAGTTAGGTTTTAAAAGTCATTCAAGAAGTGTTTGTTTTCATCAAGACGCTTAGCCTAGGGAAATACCTGGAGGCCAAGGAGACACAAGGTCACAGCTTCTCTGGTCAAAGTCTGCAATAAATTGTAGCCAGGGATGGCTGGGAGAAGCTGGCTAAGTTTTGCTTCAGTTCAAGATGGAGCTCAGGCCCCAACATCTGCAGAAAGGACTCCAGGACCTCCCTATGGCTAGCTTAGCTGCTTGGCTCTATGTTCGACAAAATCTCCCACATGTTTTGGTCCTAGCACTGGCCTGTCTGTCCTATAATTGTGTGTGGTATGTACAGATTAAGATACAAGGGACTAGGATAATATAGGTTAATTTTATTCTGGGGGAAGTTACTTACATGAGAAACCAGTAACCCTCAAGTTCCAGATCCGAGGATAAATGCCCTGCTGCTCTTTTTGACCCCATCGGAAACAAGCAAGAGCAAACCTGTCTTGAACCACAGACCAAATCCCACATGTGCAAGTACACACCTGTGACCATGCCTAAATGGGTGTGGCCAGCGCCATGGGTGCATCTGGTAGGTCTCTCACTACATGTGTGTTTATGTGTCTGTCTATCTTACCTACCACTCTTTGAAGTCTTTCATCTTATGGTGTTTGGTTTAGAGTCAAAGATGGATAATTACTGAACGAATAAGGGGAAGTAATGGCCTAGTCGCTTTCTCTGAAAGACCCGGCAGAGTGGGGAGACCCTCACTCAAGTCTCGGGATAAGCCAATGCCCCAATAATTCAAGAGAGACCATTCTTGATGCAAGCACACGAGGTTTATTCGGGGAACCAGTGCACTGGGGCGGAACTCATAACCCTCGCAGGGGCAGAGGAGTTTAACGCCCTGTAACTGCAGTGGGGGGGGCGCAGAGGTTTAAGGGGAAAAATCATAAAAAATGGGGGAGTTTAGGCAAGCACCATAAAGGATGGGGAAGTTAGGAGATAGCTCATGCCTTAACGGGAAGGTTATAGGTTATCTCATGCAAGCCTTCTTGGGACATTGTACAGTTAAACATTGAGTAAGGCACCAGATGCATCAGGAATGTGGTGAGCTAGCTCCTGGATCAGGGAGTGTTATCTTTTAAGTTTATCTTGAGGTCACCGATTTCTCAGAAGAGGGCAGAAGAACAAGTTACTCTGTGCTGTGCTAGTTGCTAGGGGTCTAAAAAATGTTGAGTTAGGGTCTCTCATCTCCACAGCTTCCCATCCCTAGTTCAATGACTTCAGCTTGTGTGTAAAGTTTATTCTGTAGAATTGAAAATCCATGAATTAAAACCAGGTGAAGTGTAGTTATTTAAAAAAAAAACATGAACAACCATGAATCACTTTTCTCTGTTAAGTGAACCAAGAGTTTTATAGAGGGGACAATGAAATTACTGCACGCTGCTTGAATTGTAATTTGGACAACCTCACATAGACAAAGCAATTGACAACATGTAGAAATAGCCTTGGAAGTGTTTCTGTTTTGGGGCTAGAGAAATGGTGTGGGGGGTATTCAATCACACAGTGAACCCCAACTTTGCATTAATTAAATAAAATTAATTGGATAAGGAGGCTGAGTTAGCAACCAGTTGACAGAAAATAATCATAGCTCATCAGAAGGCATCTGGGAGAGATAGAGAGGTGCCCCAGAAGTAGCAGGGAGGGATTTGAAGTGGTGCAGCTTTTTTTGTTGTTGTTTGGCAGAGTGGAAGGACCATCTCTTGGGAGATGCCAACAAGGAGAGAAGGTTAGCTAGTTGTGACCCAGCCTCTCTGAGCTAGCAGGTTGTCACCCCAACCTTTGAATCTTGATTCTTATTTATAAACAGAACAATATAGATTTAGCTAAAGCTAACTTTAGTGACAGTGACAGAGCTGGTGCCTGTGGGAACAAAATTCCCACCAGGCTGCGGCTTAAATGGCCAGGCTGTTGCTAGAGCAGCAGGCTGGTAACTGCAGAGTCACAATGCTGACGGAAGTAGCATTAGATTAAGGTACCAAAGTTAAAACAACAAGATCATGCAGGGGTTAAGAGCCCTGGCTATTGTTCCAGAGGACCTGGGTTCAATTTCCAGCTCACACACAACGGCTCACAACTGCCTAAGGCCAGTCTGAGGGGATCTAACAGCCTCTTCTGGCATCTGAGAGCACCAGGCATGGTTCACACATGGTGCACGACTTATACATGGTTCAAAGCTCACACAGGGCACAGAGGCACATATGCAGACAAAACACCTATACACATAAAACAAGTGTTTTTTTTTTAAAGTGTTTCTATCCTTAGTGAAATAATCCTAAAATCAAGACTCTGCTTGTACAAAGTAAGCATAGAGATAAAGTTTAATACATCTGCGTGCTATTTTCAACATTACTGACATGAATTCTGAAAGAAGGAAGGAATGCGGATTTTAAGAGCTCTGCCACACCACTGGATGGCTGGCAGCCTGATGTGGAAAGAGAAGACAAGGTTCAAGTCCTTTAAACCCTCAGAATCACCCAAGAGTGATGAGCTTCAGATCTTTTCACAAAGAGGGGGTGATGATATCTTCCTGTCACGGATGATACAAAGGTTGTGTCTTTGAATGTGTTCTATATACCCAGTAGTCATTATCTGCACCCCTGTTTATAAAAGCGATGAACAGCTAATGTGGAGTCAAACAATGCTAGTGTTTAGTTTCCAAACTAAACCATTCTTGCTAAGTGCCATGTCTAAGTTCCTAGTAAAGACCTTGAATGCCACTTACCATGAAGGCATTCCACATATATCAACCGAATTTGTGTGAAGTCTGAATGGTTTTTAAAAAAGAAAACATGTTTTCTCTCTAACACTGAAAAAAAGTGTTGTGAAATACATTGTCCAGTTCATAATTATTTAATCAAAATCCTAGAGGAAGAAATTAATAGAATTGTAGGTGTTTTTCCTTCTGTTTTTATTATTTAAATTTCCTAGGATGAACATGCGTTTCATAGCCTAGAAATACTATTTAAAACTGAGAGAAAGAAGCAAAGCTGAAGCCGGGGGCAGGATGTGAGGGACACAGTACGGGCCGGAACAGTCCTGTACTGCTGACCTCACAAATAGTCCATGTGGCTCAAAACAATTCAGAATATTGCTTTGCTAGCCGATGCTCACAGTCTTACAGGCAGTCATGCCTGTGAGCACTGGGCTACACAAGAAGACACCCATCCACTTTCAGAGAGTCAAGAGACTTGTGGAATTAAATCCCAAAAGAAGTGTTAATCTGTTCTTAAGATCATGGGATAATTCGAGCAAGATGAATAATGTCTTGCAGATATCTGTAAATTTAAACAGTTCTTTAACAATTTATTTGCTTATTATTTTATGTGTTTG